ATATATATATATATATATATATATTTACAGAGCCCATATACTTAATGAGCATTATATTTCAAAACAGAATAAATTATTATGTCCCTCTACAAATGATTAACATTTGCATACCTCTTCTTTTCGATCAACTCGTTCTTTCATTACAGTTTCCCAATTACATTGTATACTTGAATATGTCTAATAGCTGAAAGGTTAAGCACATGAAGATACTAAGATACTCACAGAAGCATCAAATCTCTCATCTTTGTAAGCATCAGGAAGGTTCAGCACCTGGGAATAATTATTTATTACATGAAAAAAAAAGTGGTAGCAGCTACTAAAACTTGATTTAGTTTTAAGTTTGAGACAGACAGACTATAGACTGTATGAACAAGTAAAACGATACTGGTGATATGCTATATCTTATAAACCAGATCAGACAGACTATAGACTGTATGAACAAGTAAAACTATACTGGTGATATGCTATATCTTATAAACCAGATCAGACAGACTATAGACTGTATGAACAAGTAAAACTATACTGGTGATATGCTATATCTTATAAACCAGATTATGTTGAAAAGTATTATCCTTATTGGAATGCAACTATTTGTTTTCCACAAACTCTCTATGATACCTGGAATTTTAAAATGTCTGACTGGAATATTGAAAGAATGATTAATTAATGTAAACGAACCTTTTAGTCTGATGGTTTGAGTATCATTAAAAAATGTACAATAAATTATTTATTCAAATGATAAAACATTTTGATTTGAGTTTTAGTTACATGCACAAGTACTAATGACAAAAACCTGACACAAACACTTGAAACAGTAAACATTTCTAATATATCAAAAATTTGTGCATAGTTTACTGTTTGTTCTTACATCACATGTACTAACAAATGTGAAAAAACTGAGTATTGTTCACTATCCTAAGAACCAAAATTCTATTTACAAAATATGTTACACAATTATTTGAGATTAATATTGGAGATGTTTCTCGAAAAACAGTATGCTTCAAACATTCTTTGAGAAAATATTACATTATTATTAGTAGGTTTTTTCCAAAAAGGGGTAAGAACTGGAATTAATAATCACCTCAACAAGCTCTGCTAGAATTGTTTGGGAAGTTAACTTATCAATATTCAGGATATGCATTACTATTTGAAGATTTAAATAGAACTATTGCACAAGTCCTTTCTTTTTTGATGTAGACTCGTATGATAGATTTGTGTATATATTATACTTTAGTAAATAAACCTAATGTATTGAAGTATAGAATTTTTTGTAAGAAATGACCTTCATGTCAAACATCACAATGTCTATTACAAAACAAGAATAATGCATTGTTTCACTATTAACCATTAATCAAAGCAATATCTTTTTCCATTTTAGAACTTAGTTGAACATTAAAATTAAAATGTAGCAAGTTCAATTTTACTTTCTATTAAATTTTCTATTTATATCAATGTTCTTTATTATCTAAGAGAAAAAGTCCAATTTATATTTTTATAGTGGTTTTTATTGAAAATTCTAAGTTTTATACAAAAGCTTCCTTACCTCTCCAGTTGTAGCAACAAAACCAGTAATCCCTACATTGATTGGAAATCTTCCCTCGAAAGGACTAAAAATATTAATATACAAAGTTAACAAGACCTACCCATAATGTTTAGCAGTGACGGGAAATAAAGTAAAATATCAGAAAAGTATTGATAATCACAACAAAAAAGTAAGCTGAAATAATTTTAAAACTTTAAAAAATGAAATTAACTAGTGAAATTTAGTTTTGACCTACCTTGTGCGAGAACCACAATCTTCATCTTCTAAATCATTTGCCTCGAGATCAAACACTCGAGAAAATGTTCCCTAGTAAGAGATAAAATTATGTACTTATTGGGGAAGTACATATACAAAAATTAAACGTTAAACATGAATTAATCAAAATCATAAAAATACATTAAATATAATACAGTCAGTTACAGATAATGAAATGTGGTCTTAAAAAGAGGGTATAATTTAATATCGGTTTGATTTTCTAGATTATTATAAAATAATTATTTTCTAAAGTCAATTCTTCATTGAAAATTCATCATTCAAGTCAACTCAAGCACACTTTAAAGACATCATAATGAATTAAAGATATAAAATAATGTATATTAATTGACAAAATATATTTTTTATCTATATATTAAAAGGTTAATTTATTGTAAAAACTTATTTTCTCTACTTAGTTTCATTAATTTGTTGTTATAAAGTTCAAGAGAAAACAAATCACACTACTATTTCTAACCTTTGTACTTTCATCTACGAGTAGTACTTGACATCGTTCACACTGAAGAAGAGATTGAGTGTGAGTCATGATCCTGTAAACAACATGTTCAATTGTGCTCTGTTCTTCAAATACCACTCTAGCAAGATCTAAAAGTACCTTAAAGAAACAAGAAAAGGCATGCAGGTGTAAAAGAAGGTTTCATTAGCTTTAAACAGCAAAACAGGTATACATGTATATGTTCAGCTAAAAACTGATTTCAATCTCACAAAAACATTTCTTGATTGTGGAAAGATTTCTGAGTATGTTTTACTTTCTACATTCTCCCTATTTTGTGACTCCCACTGATATGAAAATGTTAATTTTTTTTTCTTGGATGGGCAGGGTAGTCATAATATGTAACTTGAACCAAAAGAAATATCTCCAATCAGATAAGTCCTAGGTGGTGGGTTTAATGGTAGTTTGAAAAAGCACAAGACCACTAATTAGCTGTGCACAAAAAACAAGTCTGAGGTAATTTTGGCTTTTTTGACAATTAAAAGGAATAAATAGATACTTTTTAAAGGCCAAAAGCCTATTTATTTTTGTATTCAATAACACTTAATCACCCTTCTGCCCCTAAATACTTGCTTTCCCACATCCCCATTAAAAATCCTAGAAATGCCACTGCTAAGAAGTAAATTGTGCATTTCTAAAAGATGTAAAATTACATGGTATATTGTAATTATGATAAAATGTATTCACAGAAAATATATACAAATATTTTTACAATTTTTTCTCTTGTGTGTTTTAAAATTTAAGTAGGGTATCAATACATCTCACTCAAGATTTCATATCCACTCATATCTAAATTCTCTAGTACATGTTACTTCATTTTCACCTTCAATAGTTTATTATTTATTAAGTTAATATCTTTTTACCTGATTTCTTTTGTTTTCCAGCTGTGAGCATTCATACAACTGGGCATTTCGGAGTCCAATACCACAAAATTGTAGATACTGGGCAAAAACCTGTGAAAATATATTTTTTTTTCTTATACATTAACAAAACATATTACACTTTTTAATGTGGGTATTTCATATGATGTAATCACATCCTAGTTAATCCAATAAACAAAGAACTATTACTTTCACACCACACAAAAGAATTATGGTTGGATCAAGCTTTTCCTTATTACAGACATATATTAAAATTCAGCACTGATATGCCATTTAAACTTCTAACATTCATTTACCAACAAACAACTTAGACAGTACCATTTCATCATTATGATCAAAAGGCTCTCCATTGGGTCCATACTTGTTTATAACTTGTGCTACACCCATAACTTCACCTTCAATATTGGATATCGGCATACATAGCATGCTTCTAGTTGTGTACCCAGTTTTCTGATCTACCAGGTTGTTGAATCTTGAATCCTAGAAAATTTTAAAAAGGCTATTATCTTAATTTAACATAAGTTTTAATAACAAGGCTTGACAGACGTTTTTCTCGTTGTTCTCTTATAAAATAAAAACTGTTACAAGAATTCCATATTTTGTTTTATTTCCCTCTTTCTCGACTTAACTAAACATATCAAATTATTTCTGAACATCATCGTACAATGATTTGATAATTAATAATTGGTATTACGTTCGGAAGATGGCGCTAAAATAAGACACTGAGGAAATCTTCGCTCAAACTAAAATAGTTATACAAATAAATATTCAAAAGGAGCATGTTATCTTTAGCATGTTACACCATTTCTAGCCCATCATACAAAACAGAACCTATATCCATCACATGAATAATTATTATGTGAGAAATATTAGTTTCTAATACACAATCAGCGTCATGCTAGAAGCTACTAGAAGCAAAATGAAAGCCATAACCTACAATGTGCCATTATTCATCGAATTACCTGTTCTTGTTTCAGTTGCAGTGGCACTAAAAAGGTTTGAAATTTGATTATAAGCGTAAAAGTATCATACAACTTGTATAAAATGTACTCCTACACAAATATATATATATATACATATAAACTTATTTATTTATGAATTTATTTTCCTCACCAACATGTGAATTTCAGTCATATGTTATCCAAACACAAAGTATCTTAGGTTAATACTGACGAGTAAACGGCTATACATAAAAACTAAACAAACATCTTACAGCCCACCACCACGTGAGGCCTTCTTCTCTGCTGCAGAGGAGTAGCGAACAAAATAATAGGTTAGGCCACTACGTCATCCTTTCTTCACTGAAATTCGCGTTTTGGTGAGGAAAAGAAACAAACAAATAAATAACCAGTTAGTCCGCTGAATAATAAAAGATAATGAATTATGATTTTATGCGACATTTTATCCAAACACCTAAAATATATAAAGTATTTTAGGTTAATAGTGATTAGTCGACTAATCGAACAAATACATGTGCTTGTTAATGTTATTTCACAAAGAAATATACAAGTGAAGTACTTAAGTAAAAATTTAAAACTAAATATATCACCAGCATCAAACACAGATAGATGCTGGTCAAAATACATCATGTTATCATTATTTTCTACCTTCGACTGTTTCTTTTTTGGAATCTTGCGTCAACTCAGATATTTTCTTTTTACGTTATTAGTAAACACCATACATATAATAAAGCCGTATCTGGCTATTTTGTTATACCAGTAAAAAGAAGAAGAAGAAGCCAATTCCTAAGTAGATGTAAAACTACATCTTTAGTTGAAGGATCATACCTATATCACACACATACAGAGTTGATTATTTTAATTTATTGATTTTCTTGTGGTAACTTTGTAACGGCAGATGTTTTTCCTGCAAATACGAAAATTCTTCAGTGTATGCAATAAAAACAATAACAGGAAGTGATGAATTTAGTTTCAACACTTCCGACAACAGGTCTAGCACGCATCAGTGGTTACCGTGTGGGGCTGTAGTACTGAGGTTCTATAGTTCGTGTTCTGCTAGGATTACATTTGATGGAATCAAAATAGGGATTTGTAGTTTGAGTAAATAATGTCTACAGTATCTCCAGTCTTGTTTTCTTACTTTTTTTACGATCATTATTCGCAGGTTTTTAAATTCCCAATTTTTTTATTCATCTTATTTATCCATAAAGCATAACCAGGTTCTCTATTTTGTTACATTTTCTGGTCTTGATAACCTCTAACAATCTGTAGCTAATTGTCGCTTATAACAGGACAAGACACAAGAAAAGAATACCAAAGTTTTGTAAAGATTCTCCTTATGTAGAAAATCGGGATCTTTTCCAATTGAAATAGTTTTCTTTCCGACTAGGTCTACTAAGTCTGCTTGAAGTATCGAAGGCATTTCGTCGTATATATGAAGGTGATGACAAATAGCTAGTTGCCGAAATGCTGTGAACATTCACATGACATTAAGATCAATAAGACAATAGAACGAGTACACGAAAGATTCCAGGTATAGCATATACATACGCACGTTTTCATGAGTAAAACACAGAATCAAATATAGCGTAAATCAAATACCTGATCTTAAGCAAAATAAGGTAGTCGTAGGTTTCAAGCAATAAAAAACAAGTCATGCCACGGGTTAAAAAATACATGAACATACACTCAAACACATATACAGTAGACAAGCATCAACGTAACAGAAATTCACTTCGAGCATTATAATAATAAAGTACAAAAAAAAAACTATCCAAAAATATATACAGTGTATATGGTAACACTTTCGTTGCATCATATAGAAACAATATTTAGCAAAATAAATAAGTTTCAATAGTTTAACAACTGGAATTTCGACAGCTCCTTGTTAATAACATGTTTTCACCTTACTGGATATGCAAACTTTTTCTTATTAAGTATTCTCCACTTCTTGTATGTTACTTGTTTAAAAAATCATCAACTGCTAACACTTATCACTGCACCTTATACGAGCCTAAAGCACGTCTTATCAAATCACGCTTCAATTTTTTTTCTCTATTACATATTACATAAATTCGTCACCAAATTTGGTTCAACGTAATTCAGTTATATATGTGTATATGTGTGTGTGTGTGTGTGTGTGTGTGTGTACACGTAGACTGTATTCCTTAGGAAATCGACAAGCGAAATTGTTATATTTATGCTAGAGCTTCTAAGGTTGTATGCTGCCGTCCCTAATATTTAACTACTGGTTAGAAAGAAGACAACTAGTAAAACAGCACCCTACCACTCACCATCCACGCTAAAAGATTGATTGTCACTGTTATGACACATCCACAGCTTAAAGGGTGGAGAATATTTTATGGTATCGCACGGATTCGAACCTGGATCGTCAGCTCCGAAATCCAGAACTGAATCACATGACCAATACGCGCCTGTTGAAATACTGTGCACTTAAAATTAAAAAAAAATCAACAGTTGCTCTACACGTAAAATAAGTTCATAATTACGACCAGTGATAAGTCTTTTAAAGGCGTCAACTGTAAGAGACTTAATTAGGCGTTATTTCGATATAGACAGAGAAATTTTAATAATAACTAAATGTGTCTGAAACAAAATTTGTCTGAACATCACATTCTCCGAACATGTCTGTACAAACAGCCCGGCATGGCGAGTTCGAATCCCCGTCCCACCAAACATGGGGGCGTTATAATGTGACGGTCAATCCCACTATTCGTTGGTAAAAGAGTAGCCAAAGAGTTGGCGGTGGGTGGTGATGACTAGCTGCCTTCCCTCTAGTCTTACACTGCTAAATTAGGGACGGCTAGCGCAGATAGCCCTCGTGTAGCTTTGCGCGAAATTCAAAAACAAACAAACTGTACAAACAAAACATTTCTATAAAATTCATGGAAATTATAAGAAGTTAATAAGATAAGTGTGAATTCTTCATTCGATACAGTACACACATGTTCCAAAAGATCTCCCACACATATACCATATATACACCAACCACACAACATTCCTTCCCAATTTAGCAATTTCGGTTAAAAAGTATATTATGATAATAAAAACCTGATGAAATGCAAGTGTTCTCGACAATGTATTCTCAAGTAAAAGAACTAGTCAGGTCTACCTGTCTAAAGTATTAAGGTATAACCAGTTATTTTTATTGTAACATATTAAACTTTTTTTATCGTATACATGTTTCTTACTATCATGATGGTAATAAATATGTCGTAATATAGTTAACTAGGTTTAACAAAGGGTACTTTACGAAAAAAAAAATTAACATCACTTCGCAAGTTACGCATTAGAAAGTATTCCTATCATTAAAAGAACTATCGGACGGAAACTTGTACCGGTCAACTGTCGTTCACTGCAGTAATCCTAAACACGTTGTCAAGGCTTTCATATATTCCTGATTAGAGAAGTTCTAGTAATTTACAAGTGTCATTTCCTAAGTTCAAAATTTCTTATTACCAACTCCATTCTTCCTAATAAATGATTTACTCCGTTTTTGAAATTGTCCTCCTTTTTCTTACGAAGTAAAAATTACTTTTTTTTGTACTTTAACATAATTGTGTGTTCTCTGATATCCGTGGACGAGTCAGATCCCTGTTATAACTGTGTGAAATGTATGAAGTGAAATATTAAAAATTGTGTTAATAGTTTCTATGAACTTAGATTTCACGCGACCATTAAGATCCTTATTTTAGCCGCGGCAAAGCGGCTTATAGAATGGCTCCGAGTTTTCCCAAGTTCAAACTTTTAGTTTACAGCTCTGTCATCTCTTGATCGATTAGAGATGTAATTACAGTTTTGGACTCGGGAGGTCAAACAAACCCTTTCGGTTGATGTATTTGACCACGCCCAAAATCTCATAGATTTATTTACTCAAATCCTGCCTAAAAAAAAATTCAATTTGAGGGTAGGCTGGTAGAGATCCTGATAGTAATAAAATCTACTTGAATATACGCGCGCCTCACGCTTGGTATTTCTGGCTTACAAAAATATAGCTAATAAAAAAGGGGGGAAGGTCTCGTAGATTAATTTACTCTAATGCTGCCTAAAATAATTTCAAGTGCCGCGGCTATTGAGGATTTCCTCTTGTTTTTATCCAATACTGTACTCGTAACAAACCATGCAATACTGTTTAAGTATTATAATATATTAATATCTAAGAAAATATAAAACTTTACTGGCTATACGCCACCAGTGGCTCAGCAGGAAGCCTGAGGGCTTTTTATGCTAACATTTCTAGTTTCTATCCCCGTGGTTGGCAGAACACAGACAGCCCATTGTGTAGCTTCGTGTTTAACATCAAATAAATACCAGCTGTATGATTTTTCCTTATGCATGGGTTAAGAAATATGTTGAAGTTATACCAAATAACATAAATTGTTTAGATTATAAATTTTCACCTTTTACGAGGAAATTATTGTAACGTAAGATAACACTGTTTACCTGGTAACAGTCTGGAATATTAACAGATTCCCCACTGGCGGCCACGTATCCAACAATCCCTCTTCCCCAAGGAACACTAATTTCTTCTTTTTGTTCTATCTGTTCCAATGTAGAGTCACTAGACACGTCAAAAAGTTGGCTGACCAAACATCTATTAGGACAGTCTTTTTCGCCCCGGACCAAAAATAGGGAGCATCTATCAGCGTGAGTTATTACGCTTACATTTTGCAGAATTTTATGACAAAGACTTCGTACATCTAAATCATTACAAATGTCCTTCACTAGTTCAAATATCAATTCTTTCTCATCCAAAGCCTGAAGCTCTTGTCGACTCTTCCGTGATGATCGTTGTCCTGCCGGAAGATTGGACTCTTCAGGAAGAGGTAGGGATATGAATGTTGGTGTGCCATCTACAGTTGTCACCATTGGGCGAAGAATTCCACCACGTTCAAATTCATGAGCAGAGATTTTACGAACTGGTGTGGCTGCTCCGGAACCAGAGCGTGACGTCGGACTAGTTGGGTTTGAATTACCCTCACATACTATGCTCTGAGGAACTGCGTGAGCCAAAAGCCAGGCATCTACCATTTGTCGAGAAGCCTTTCTTACAAAATAATCGACTACAAACGTAGGATTCTCATCTAACCAAGCTTCTAAACTCTCGTAGACATGACTATCAGTTGCATCCTCTATGGGATGACTCGTAACGTCACCTATAGGGGGCTCACTCATGTTAAAGGTCTCAAAGAGTTGAGAGCCACCCCTTGGATGCCAGCCAGGCGACCAAAGAGGGCGCCACAAAACAGGGTAAGATCCACCTTCCTTCGACGTCTCCAGCTTGGCTGACTTCTTTAGCTTCCCTGGAAAATAATATATTTATAATGAACTATGATTATATAACCACCTATAAAAATAAAAAATAATAACACTGATTTTAGAACAGGTTGCAACTGAAACCCTTAACAAAAGATGTCTAAATTTTTCGCTTGCATTTCCTGGCAAAAATAACTTGTAAATGGAAAAAAAAAATCTGGATATTTTGAGCATTTGTTACAGTTATACTGGGAAATAATCAATATATGAAAATATATTTCTGACTAATTAAAAACATAACACAGTTCTGAACGTATCAGTGATTGCTAATATTACTTTTCCTATAATAGAAGTATATACATTGGCAACGTTTTTCTAGATTCTAAATTACGTTTCACAGCTGGTTAAAACATTTTGCTTTTGATCTGCTTTACACACCAGAGGTCCATATGCGCGAAATCATGAAAACGAATTCTCTCTGCGCGTATATCTTGTTCTACAGATATTTATTTATTGAAAAGAACATATGTTACTTTGTGATTGCTATCATTCCAAAAGTCCAAAGAAACCATAATAAGAATACACAAGAATATTAAATCTCGTACTGTGACAAAATGAATCATCTCATTTATGCTGGTGCTGTAAATGTCACAAATGAAACTAGTTCGTTATTAAATGAAAACAATGCAACCGATTAACAAAAAATAACAATGGTGGTATATGTTAAAACGAAGAGCCTTTTATATAGAATATGAAGATCTTTGAAGCAAGAATAGGAATAATTAGTATATTCATCTGTCATATATATACAATTACATATGTTCGTTTGTACAATACAAGGATTGGTTTGAATTTCGCGCAAAGCTACACGAGGGCTAACTGCGCTAGCCGTCCCTAATTTAGCAATGTAAGACGAGAGGGAAGGCATCTAGTCATCACCACCCACCGCTAATTCTTGAGCTACTTTTTACCAACGAATAGTGAATTGACCATCACATTATAACGCCCCTACGACTGGAAGGGCGAGAACATTTGGTGAGACATGGATTCGAACTCGCGACCCGCAGATTGCGTATCGAGCCCCCTAACCACCTGGCCATGCCAGACCCACAATACATGGATCATGAAAGTTTTACAATTTAGACTCGGAGCATTTTGTCTTGAAAGACGTTTCATACCATATCTACCTTCATTAAACATGTAACAAATATAAAGTTTTTCTCACGTGAAATAGAAAATTTCTACACAAATACTCCAATTAACACTTCGGATTTCAAGACCCATGATTAGCACAACAGAGATAGCCCATTTTGTAGCTTTTCCTTAGACATAGAAAATCAAACCCTAATTTTGTGTTACTAAGTTATGAAATTTTGAGATCAATAACTAGGGTTACACCTCTCTATCACATACAAGTAAAAGTCCACGAACGAAGCTATTATGCGGAAAAGAAGTTAAAATTATAATCAATTCCGTAATTATATGAAAGAGATTAATTGAACATTTTCAAACAGGAAAAAAAATGCCCATCGTATTTAAATTTAATCTACCAAAGACGGTTAGACAAATTTTTACACACTCTTGTATCATTATTTAATAGAGTTAGTGGAACAAAGACAATTTCTAAAAGAAAATCTTAAAACCCCATATAATCGAAGATGGAAGTTCTAATGATAAATGCTTAAGCCCAACAACACGGATGTGGCGCCATGTACGTTACTTTCCCGCATGGCCAGGTGGTTAGGGCGCTCGACTCGCAAACTGCGGGTCGCGGGTTCGAATCCCCGTCACACCAAACATGCTCGCCCTTTCAGCCGTGGGGGCGTCATAATTTGATGATCAATCCCACTATTCGTTGATAAAAGAGTAGCCCAAAAGATGGCGGTGTGTGGTGATGACTAGTTGTCTTCCCTCTAGTCTTTCACTGCTAAATTAGCGACGGCTAGAGCAGTTATCCCTCGTGTAGCTTTTGCACGAAATTCAAAACAAAACAAACAAACTTTCGCGCACAGGCCAGACATCGACCATTTTAAGCTGTTAATAAATAAAATATAATGAAACATAATACAAGGTGCTACAAGAGTGACAATCAAATCACGCACTTAGGTAAAAAAAAAAAAGAGTTGGCGGTGGGTGATGTTGATAGCTGTCTTCTCTCTAGCTTACCAAGTGAAAATTAGAAATGGTTATACGCAAATATTCCAATAAATAAACCAACAGATCAATTAGTATTCAATTTATTTATACAGATAACATTGTTTTGTGGAATGAGTGGCTAAAGAAATGAAGAAATATACAACAGAAAATATGGTGATATACTACCGTTATCTCAGTCTGTGAGCTGAAACTATACAAATGTATACATACATATACAAAATTAATTTATTAGCACAGTTCTAATAACATCACACAAAAAATTAGAAAACGCAAAATTATCTGAATATACAGTTTCTTTGTTGCCGTAAATAGTATCCTTGTGAGTGTGTATGTTAAACGTGAAACAAAAATTGGGAAAATATAGACAGAACTTTTAGTGAAAATTGTTAATATGTAAATCAGAAAGTTACTGTACATTATGTAGTAGAATGTTGCCACATTTAACATTAGAACTTTCTAGTATTATGCAACAGCGAAAACCTTTGAATTTACATAGTTACAAACTATTTTCGAACTGCGTCATTCTCCTATCTTAGTGACTCTCTCGCTATATAAAGAACTCTCAACTATGACTGCAATGCAAGATGTATCTGAAATACCACCCATTCCATTAATTCTGGCTCCGCCGGGTAACCTTGCACGAGTGTTGTAGTTCACCTGCGAACTCACAATCATCAGGGGCTGTAGTGTATGAATACACCCACACAGAACAGCAAAACACCCTGACTACATTCGCTTTGGCAATTGTATCAAAATAGCTGAGTGTACTGTACGAGTCTGACTAGGGTTAAAATGCCATCTTAGAATATTTATATTTTTTTCAGGCTTTCAAGTGTTCCCTGTGATGTTGAAAAACGTATCAGTGGCGTTTCTATGCGAGATAAACATAATAAACAGAATGTATAACCTATACCATAAAATTCAAATATTAAAACAATACGCAGTTATTTGGGAACTCAATCTTTCCGCCTTTTCAGCTTAGCTTCACGTTTTACAAATAGTTATTTGTATTCAGGAACACCTAACTGCTATTCGGTTATATATGATACATAGGTAGTGTGTGGTTAAAGGGTGGGCGCGAGTGACGTCATCCATCCACTTATTTTGGAAAAATGCAGTTTTTCTCCTATCAGCACCAATGGTATACTGAGGCAGGAGAGGACATTAATGCCGCTCCCGTAGTTTTTGTTGTTGTTGCTGTTGTTAAACTAAGTCCATGTGTTTGTAAAATAAACTTAAATTGTACATATAGTATTTTATAGTATCAAATTTGCATGTTTAATATATTAAAGTTATTGTATGTTTAAAATTATGACTTAAAAATATCCATAAATAATAAAATATTTTATCTTGTGAAGATGCTATGTAAACTGCAAATTATATATCCAACGTATATTTGTTACTCATACATAATGGTTGGTTATACTTTCTTAACAAATAAGTGGGTAGTTATTATAAACAAACCAAACATCTCAAATACAACCTACATGTGCACATACAATTCAAGGGCAAGAAATTTATTAGGATATCGTTGGTTCTCTAGCACAAAACATTTTACCACTACAACACTGATATTTGTTCCAAATAGGCATTGTGGAATGTTGGAATTTTGATACTTTAGTTCCGCGTTAAATAATCGTATGGAATTCACTCATTACCTTCTGTACGAGTTTACCTCTGTATACAGAAATGATTCTAACGCTCTACCCCTGTATACAAAAATGGTTCTAACGTTCTACCTCTCTATATAGAAATGGTTCTAACGCTCTACCCCTGTATATAGAAATGGTTCCAACGCTTACCTCTCTATATAGAAATGGTTCCAACGCTCTACCCCTGTATATAGAAATGGTTCTAACGCTCTACCCCTGTATATAGAAATGGTTCTAACGCTCTACCCCTGTATATAGAAATGGTTCCAACGCTCTACCCCTGTATATAGAAATGGTTCCAATGTTCTACCTCTCTATATAGAAATGGTTCCAATGTTCTACCTCTCTATATAGAAATGGTTCCAATGTTCTACCTCTCTATATAGAAATGGTTCCAACGCTCTACCCCTATATGTAGAAATGGTTCTAACGCTCTAC